ATCTGGATTTTCAGATGTGAACTGCTGTTTTCAACTGCTTCTTGCCCAGAAGGAATTTGTATCATTGTACTTCGCAGAAAGGTAAAGATATTGAAACCAAATCTTTCATGAAAAAATACTTAGTAATAGCATAATATATTTTTAAGTTTTATAATGTTTAAATATCTAATGGAGAATAGGAAAGAAAGAGTTCAGAAACTATGTGGAAGGATAATGACTCTAGGCACAAATGTAAAGGTAGCATGATAGAAATATTCTTGAATACATGTATGTATTTGTATTAAACACAGTTTGTGTGGACTTGACCTACATGGGTAGAATGGCCTCTTTTTGATACCACAATCTATCCAATGAAAGGGCCAGTTAAAGGCTTGGCTTTCTTCTTTTTAAGTGTGTGGTGATCCCTCTGAATGGTGCCCATAGGCTCATTTATTTGAATGCTTTTCTCTTAGTAGGTGGATCTCTTTAGGAAGAATTAGAAGTTATGTCTTTATAAAGGATGTTTCTCATCTTGGATGGGCTTTGATCTATCAAAGGCTCATTTCAGGCACGAGTAAGCAACACAAATATAAAGGTATAGAACTTAGGCCTGCATCAGCATCTCTGCCTTTAACAGCTAGAGCTTATATACAGAATGTTGGGACTTTCCTCCTGTGTCACAAGGGAATAAAGATGATACCTGAAGAGAAACTCCAGTTTCTACATGAATCCTGATTAAATTTGCATGTTCCTCTGTAAATTTCCCCAAAGTTGTTACAACTCCTAAAGAGAAAACTGTGAATGCTAAGTAATGAAGGCAAATGTGAAACTGCTCAGCCATGGCAAGACAATCAGCATCAGCACCCATGGGAGAAATCGGTACCAGGTGTCAGCACAACAGGAGGGCATTGCAGCTTCCCTAGGAGGTTAGTAGCTAGCAAAAAGAAATCATGGAATAGACTCTTTAAGTCTAGTCAAAAACATAAGAGTAAAAAGAACAATACACTTGTTAGGATAATTTCACACCACCTTATGACTGATGGATTCCATTTGGAAGTTTGTATCACATTTAAATACTTCATCTTAGTATACAAGACAGTATGTCTTTCATAGAAATTTTACTTTAAAGGTTATTATTGGCTTGCAGATATTTCATCCTGTTTCTTTGTCCCCCTTTTTTGACTTTTAAATAATGAGCAATTGGTCCCTGGGAGGAAGGATCATGGAACTGGGGCCTTCCATGATTTTAGCGATGACTTAATTACGTTCTAAATAAGAAATGAGTATCCATGTTTGTGAGTAACTTCAAAAAATTCTACTTTATGCTTTAATTGAGAGAATTAATCCAGAAAAACTAAACTAGTGGGAGAACAGTGAGAAGTGGAGAAGCACACATAGGTGACATGCATTGAAAAGAGTTTACTTCCACAAGCACTTGAGAAAAAGAAAAAGAAAGCCTTGTCAAAACTAAGGGGTAAATTAAACATTAGGGGCTACTGCAAATTAAGCATTTCTGTAAAAATAGTCAACATGTCTCATCTCCATTTATATATTTACCTGAGAATATGTCATCTCTCTCTTCCCATCCATGTGGATCCTCTCAGGAAACTTTATTTTAAAATTTCACCTTCCTGATAATATCTCAGATTTTAAACACCAACAACACTCTCTGTTTGCTTCCACACACAGAGACTGAAAGGTAAGGATCAAAATCCTCATTCCCTACTCTATAGCAGAGCCAAGATACAGAGCACTATTGGCTCTCAGAGGCAGACCAAACTGAAAGTTCTCCTTTCATGCATTCAGACCAGCATCTTGAAGGACTTTAGTATAGCAATGGAAATGTGATTGAATTAACCTGCTACACTCAGCAGAGTCAGCTAGGAATTTCAAATGGAGGCTGAGCACAGGTGCTATTCAGAATCATTAAGGACCCACATATTCTCTTCTCTCTAATGACTGATTAAAGCAACATTGGTACTTCCATTGAGAATGCCAAAATATGTGGACTATATGCAAATGAAAGTATTTCAACAGACAGAAAAGCTAGGTGTTTGGGACCAAATATCATGAGAGCAATCTATGCCTCTCTAAAGTCTTCAGTAACATTTCCCATTGTGTCCCATGGCTCAGTTTATTATAATTACTTATGCAGTATAGTTAATAATACATGTTTTTAGTTTTTGAAGGCAAGGTTTTTCTGTGTGATCAGCTTGGCTTTCCTGGAACTCACTGTATATAACACAGTGGCCTCAAACTCACAGGGAGTAGCCTGTGTCTGCATCTCCAGTGGTGGGATTAAAAGTGTGAGTTGGGTGATGATGTCATAGGAAAAAATAGATGAACAGAAAATGGGACAGACAAAATAGCTAAAATTAGGTGGACTCTCCCCTCTGTAAGAGAACCAACCTCAACAGGAATTATTGCCTATTCATAACAAAGAGATGAACAGTGTTTCAGGGGTCATACCTATAGGTAGAGGGGTCATTCTCTCCATCTGAATACGGCAGCAGGTTTGGATCATGTCAGGAGGGACATTCTTTGTAGGGGAGCACAGCTGAAGCTTAATCCACTATTGGAGAAGGCTGGGGTGAATATTTTCTGATCACTATCAACATCCACATGCAGGACAGGGGGTTTTCTCATTCTGATGAGTCTAAACAACCCTCAACACCTGAAAGGCTCATTTTACAAGTTTCCCATGGGCCTGAGTGTGTGCTCTCTGTCATGGTTGCTTCC